AAGGTATTTGAGGGCCACTGCTACTTCCAGTAGGTGAAGTACTGGGTTTTTCTAGTAAGTAACGGTAACGTTTTGAATCCTTCTATTTAGGGAGTGCTTCTTAACTTGCTTCCTTGCCAGGCTGACAAGGTAATTAGGCAAATAAGGGCTGGAAACAGTCTGAACTCTGATGGAAAAAGTCTCAAATATTGTGATGTAGGGTAGATCAGGCACAACATTTTCAATTGAGATTCTGTAGTTTGGAGCATCCTTCACACAAGTATTAGAGCTGTTGATCTTTTAAAGGTCTCAAGTCCTGGGGAGGTGTAACTTCAGTTGACCAGACTTGTCCACCTGATCATTTAACATTTCTACTTTCATTTGCTTCTTCCAAAATTATTATGCAAGCTGATGCCTTTGGAAGCCTGTAAGTCCTTTTAGATTTGTCATCAGTTTGATATGCAGGAGCTGCTAACCCTTTGTTGTTGTAGCGGTCATTTGCCTGCGGTGCTGTACTGTCTGTTTCAATCCATAGCTGCCTTTTGGTACTGCTGTGATGCTGTTGATGTCTGGCAACTAGTTAGTCATCTCTGGCTTTTTTGTTTGTTTGCTTGTGGGGGTTTTATGTTTTGTTTAGCCATCAGAAAACCTGCTTTAGTTACTTTAACTGTCTTGTGAATAGACTGGTGTTGCTGGTTGTGATGATAAATTTGTGGTGGTGACAATTCATTGAAAACAAGATCACTTTTACAAAGAATACAAATGCCTTACTAAGGGCTAGAAATAGTGGTGACTTTAAAATTATATGTTCATTTATTTTTCCCCTCTCCATGAGTTTATTCTGTGGAGCATTTAATACATCTGGTCCTTAATAGAAGTTCTAAGGCTGAAAAATGGAGAAAAGGTCCTGTGTTCCCATGTGGGGCAATATGTAAGCTAATAAATAGAATATGGAGTAGATACACCTGGAGTACTGTGTCCAGCTCTGGGCTTCTGCATACTAGGAAGAGAGAGAGACTTGCTGGAGCAAGTCCAGAAGAAGGTTGCAAAAGTGGTTTAGAAGTTAGGTGAGTCTTGAGAGCTGAAGCTTGATCTGATTGTTCAGCCTGGCTCTGTGCAGTTTCGTGTCTTCTTCATTCTCCCCAGCCTGTAGCCTGCTCCTTAGTTTTTTCACTGTAGTTTGTCATAGCACCTCATTACTCTGCTTAATGAGGAGCTGACTGAAACTTAAGTGTAATCCTATATATTTATACACACATATTTACATTTCAATTTGGCATTGTAAAATGCTTTTAATTAAAAGTATAATGTATGTGCTCACTAGATGGCAGCAGATTCCCTAACTAACTGTGAGAATGAAACATTCCCTGTTATCAGTAGGTATTTTGGATTTTTAGAGTGCAAATCAACTTTTAATACTGTATTTATGGTAAAATTAAAATATTAGTTAACAATATGCAGAACTTAATGCAATGTGCAGCTAACATTAGAGCTCCTCTGAAAATAACTTAAGAACATGCCTTCTGAGCAGTGTTTCAAGACTGGATATGGAAGATTACATAGCTCACAAATGTCATTATATTTCTAGTTTTGGTTCAGTTTTAAGCTATCTTGTCTTCTTATAACAGATAATGCAAAATGTAGAAGGAGAAGAGAATACATATGTCTTATGAGTTACTGCAAGTTTGATGTATAGATATTTCAAACTAAGTTTTAAAAACTACTCAAAAGTGTATTTTAATTTTTGGGTCTGACCTGAGTTTGGTTTTGCATTTCTGTAGCACGTGTTCTTTGCATGTGTCAGTTGTGAAGAAAAGTAACCTTGGCCTGAGGTTTTCTGTTCTGAGTAGCACTTCTGCATTTTATTAAATGAGCTTTATAGATGATGAGTAAACTGAATTTGGTTACCAACCAGGGGAGTTGGCAGTGTGTGTTTGCACTGGAGCCTGTGTGTTAGACTGTATTTACACTGAATCCTGGAAGAGTAGTTTATGAGAAGAAATGGAACAATGGAGAAAAATTAGTCTGTTCAGCAAGATGCTTTGGGATATCAGCCTGGAGATGCATTTCACAAGGATTTGGTCCTCTAAATTGTTGTTTTTGTCTGTATTTCAGAGGATGAAGCTGAGGAGGTGAACTCCTCTGTTAGAGGAAAATCAAATAAAGGAGTATCTAATGTGACTGTATCCAGTGAAGCCCTTTTGTTCAAACTGACTGCTTAGAAAGGGAGTAGCCAAGGAATATGTGGCCACTCCCATCCTTATTGCAGTTTTAGAGGGTTGCCCAAACCAATATAAGATTGCCCAAACCAATATAAGAATAAGTGAGCAAGCAGAGACAACTGTATGGTGTACTTACTGGGAGCTTTTTTACTCTCATGTTGGACTGCTGGATCCATATTCCAGCTTGGGAAAGTCAGTCAGTAGGGCATGACCTAGCAAATTGAGTTTAGAGCTTGAAATCTTAACTCAGTCTAATTTAGTCAGCAAAAAATCTTAACTCAGTACTAAGTTTAGTCTTTTTGTAAGACTAAATTTAGTATTTTAAAGTTTTGCTTTGACCACTTAGGGTGGGGCTTAATTGCATCTGTACTAATATCCCAGTTCCAAAGTGGTTTTTATGTATTGAAGAACTAAAGATAACAAATGCTGCATTTCATTTCTTGTTTTAGTTTCTTGTTGAATGGGATGATTCAGCTAATCATGCTTGTAGCTGAATATGTTTTCCATCTATGGAAACCTGTGGGCTTATTTGTTTGATTTTTATTAATACTTCTAGCTTGTGTCACACTTTTATAGAAGCCTTTTGAAAGATGGAATGTGCTGCCTAGGATTTTGGTGTATTTGCTGTGACACTGACAGTATACAGAAAAACTTCTTTTCTGTAGTAGCAGATTTCTTGGCAAAATGAAGATATTTGCATACTGCATCTTAATTGCACAAATGCTTTATATTCAGTGATTTGTTCTACTTAATCTTTTCTTACTCTGACATAGTAGTCTCAATCTTCTGTTTGTGATGTGTTTATCAGAGCAGGCAGTGATGTAGAACTTTCTTGTTAGAGCAGGAATGGTTCATAACTCACAAGAGGCAGATCCCTGAGTGAGTCATTTAGGTCATTCCCACTTGTGTGGAAAAATATTACATCATTGCTCTGTACTCAGTGTTCTATTTATACCATGCCAGAATTTTAAGTACATTTTGCTTTTTTTAGATGCTGTAAACAGTATTGGGGGTTCGTCTAAAAGTAAGTTACTGCTAGGCCATAGAAGGAGCATTACTGAATCAAATATTTACAGAGAGTCCAGGAGTCAGAGGAGCATACTGTCTGCAAAGTCAAGCTTGCCAAGGGTGTGGGGGTTGACCTTTGTGGCAGAAAGAGTAAAAGGCAGCACAGATTCATTCTATCCATAACCCTGTAGCTTTTCATGGTTGATTTTTTTTCTTCTCCCTCTTGGTTTTTATTACACCAGTAAATAAAGGTGGAGCCATACTTATGAGCAGGTCTGACAGGTATTGATGAGAACACCTTTAGGTTAAAGTTTTTTGGGTTTTTTTGGTTGTAGCGACTTCTTTTGGTTCATTCACAGCTTTCAGTTTCAGGCATCCTCCTTGCATGGTTTTATGTTAAAAAATGAGTTATTCTGTCAGAATAGAGTCCCCTTGTATCCCCCAGGGAATTCTGCAGTTGCATCACTCTGTCCACACCTTCTGCATTTTCTCCAGCTTCAGATCTTGTATTGTTTGCAGAGTGCTTTTTTCTGCCTGTTTTCACCAGGTTAAATCAGCCTCTGTGATTTCATTCTAAGACTTCCATACTGTAAATTGTGCAGTCAGTTCTGCTTTTTTTTTTGCAGACATTTCTCTCACAACAAACTTAAACATTGATAAAGGTGATGAATTTTCCCTCAGGTTTAGCTCAGGGTACCAATTATTCTGAAGTTTCTTCTGTATTCTGCTTTACTGCAGAACACTGAGAGAAGTGTTCCTTTTGTGTTATTTTGTGCATGTGTTCTTAAAAATTCTGTAGTATTGCTCTGGAGGCAGCACCTTTGTGATGCGGCATTTATCAGATCTTTGAATACAATGAACTGTGCTGGGTTTGGGGCTGGGGTTTGTGCTTTCTTTTGTGTTTCTTTTTTTCCCCCAAGTTTCTGTTGTTGTGTTTACTGTAGGGCTTTTGCCTGCATCACAGAGTTTGTGAGAATTAATTCTCAAACTGGTAGGTTTTGAGAAATAATTCTCATTGCTGTTTCCTCTCGTTGCTATAGGAAAGGTTTAGGTGGATGTGAAATTAAGAGAGGACTGCAAGGAAAGTTGTTTCATTCAGAAAATGTGGTGCTTTTCCTGTTTATTCTGAATCTGTACTGAAAATCTTCCAGTTATAACAGGGTTGATTGTGTTTAAGTAGTTAAATATATATATTTTATGTAAAACTGTCAAGCATCATGAAATTGAGCAGTGTCACAGCTGTCTTCAAGAACAAAAACTGAACTGCAAAATGTCATCAGTGGTGGGTTAAGAGTTACAAAATTGAGGGTACAAAGGAGCTAGAAATTATTCAAGAGAAGTAATTTACTATAGCTTGATGGGATTGTGCATGATAGGTAATTCATGTGTGCACTATTAACTCATGGCAAGTGTGATTACAGCAACTGACTCATTGGGAACAATCCACAGGCAGTCCTGACTTCAGCTTGAAATTGAGATCTTGATTCCTTTTGTGTATTGGAAATGCCATGATGTTCTTAATGGATAATCCATAAAGGTGACAGTTTCTGGTTTCAGGATGCATTTCTTAAGTTATTTATGTCTTCTGTGCAGCTCTAGTTGCATTTTTTTCCCATTGTAGATCCTGAGCATTCCTGTTTGTTGTCCTGCCAGTTACTGTTGTGTTTGGGAATGGCAGCATTCCCATCAATGCCTCCTTGGAGTGCAGAGCTCAGATGCCTGCCTTAATGTTTCCTGCAATATTTTAAAGCACTGTGTCAATGCAGACTTTGTGTTGCCCTGTGTTCCCAGGTGACCGGGTCATAGACGTGGGCTCCGAGTGGAGAACGTTCAGCAATGACAAAGCCACCAAAGACCCATCTCGAGTTGGGGACACCCAGAATCCTTTGCTCAGTGATGGTGACTTGAGTACAATGATTGGCAAGGTAACACTGGAAATAATAAAGTTTACTGAGTGTTTTTTTTCAAGTACCAGGTGATACTTCCATAGAAAAACTATACAGCATGTATTTTTGAAGAGATTTTCACCTGAACTGAAGTTGCATGTTTCAACAGTCTATAAAATGTGGCCCTTTCCTTAGGATAGAAGGAAAGGGCCAACCTTTGCAAAAAAACCAAAAAGTTTGCAGTGTTGTGGAGTTACTTGCTATACTTAGATATGTTGCTATAAATAGGAAAGCTGATGTTGCAATTTTAAAAGAAGTATACTTTGACTTAGCAAGTGTATTTGAGGTTGTTCTGAAATTAATGTTGAGATCTCAACAGCTAATGCTGCTGTTTTTTGGTAGTAAAGTCTATATCAGATTCATATTGGAGACCTGGAGACCACATTGTACATGTTCTTTCAATTAATGTTAAAGCACTAAATGTAGAATTCTTTCATGGAGTGAGTGCCTCAAAGGAAAGTAGCCCATCTATACTTGGGTTGAAATTTTGTGGTGCAGTCATGTCCTGCTGTTTCTCCTTGAGAGCAAGCAGGACTAGTCACACAAATGCATTCCCTCTGATGAAGCAGCCACCCAGGTAAGTTTTAATTGTTGTACTTTCTTTTTCATATTTTACTGCAAGATCCAAATTAACTTTTTGTGGATTTCCTAAATTTTTCATGAAAAGGGGTGAAGTTGCTGATTAGAACATTTTGCCGCTTTACGTGTTTTCTCAGAAGTTTTTGTCCCAGTGATGTTGCTAGGATGAAGTGCCTAAATATGTATAGGGCAGTGTGCAGCATACTTTTCATCCAAGAATTCTTAAAAGCAACAAAGTCAACAAGTGAATACTGATGGGCAGCTAATTTTCACCATTAGTGAAAAAGAAATCTTCTCTTTGAGGAAATGTCCAAGTAGATTATTATGTTTTGGACAATTCTAAGAATTGCTGCCTATCACATTTCACGATTTTAGGTGGCTTTTGGAGTACATTCAGACAGACAAATTTCTGCACTGCTTCATTAAAACATTGGCATTGCTAAAGGGCTGTTAGAAGCAGTGTTGTAGAAGTCACTGGAATTCTAAGAGGGATATCAACCTTAGTGAGAGAATTAAAGACATAGGAACTTGTATGAAAAGTTTGTTTGCCCATGAAAACTAAAAAACTTTAAGAGCTGGACATTTGACTAATGAAAGTTTTGCTGTAAACCAGAACATCCCAGAATAGGCAGGAGCAAACTTGCTGTAGCAAGGAGTGCCGTTGCATAAAGACAAGATGAGAGTTCTAGTGTGGCATGATTTAACCTATGAGAACTGAGTAACAAGTGCTGGAGCTGCCTGGATTGTGTTTGGGATTGTAGAGGGGGCAGTCAGTCCAACTGTGGGTACTTTATTTGCAGAGGTGCATTATTTTCTATGGGAAATTGAGAGTCCCTGTGACAAACCAGGATGTTTTCTGCACAGGAGTTCCTGTGTTTGTCTCGCTCGTAAGCAGGAGCCCTGCCATGTCAGTTCCTTGATGTGAGCTCTGTATAAGGGACTGCTTTTTTTTCAGTTGTTTGAAAGGAAGTGAATGGCTTTTATCAGAAGATGCTGAAGACATCTCCTGTCAGTGCAGAAAGGGCATGAATTTTGCAGCAAGGAAGTGGTACATGTCTCAAGCAGTCATCTGAAGTGCCTGCTGGCAGTAGGTTGGGATGTGGTTTGACCTGGATAGACACAGTGGTTGAACACTAACTAGATAGACACAGTGGTTGAGCAAGGGTGAAACTGGTGTAGTCATGAAGAGGGTAAGTAGCATCTGACAGAGTGCAGAAAACCTGTATGAATTCCAGAGAATGAAACAGGGTAAGATTATTATTTTCCCAGTTAATAGCAGGATTTAGAAGGGCCTGGAGTAGATCCCATGTTTGTGTGCCAGAGATGGCTTTAACCATTCATATGGGACAGGACCAGGGCTATTTCTTTCTGCTTGAGGTAGGACTGCAGATAATAAAATCTTTACAGCTGACCTTCTCCACCCTCACAAAAGCACTCTCACCAGAAAAACCCCTAAAACACAACCTGTGTTGTGGGAAATCCAAAAGAGAAGGACACTGATAATTCTCATGCCACATCATGTTAGATCTGTTATAGACTCCTGGGAACAGAGATGGAATTGGAGTCTCAGCCAGTTATAACAGTATTGCTTTGTAACAGTAGAGGAAGAGGATCAGTTCTCCTTCACAGAGTGGTTTGTGTCTCTTTCCTCTGGGAAGGCAGGAGGTGCTGCTCTGGGGCCCCTTCCTGCAGGGATGTGTGGTCTGTATGTGTTAGCTGCTCTGCCTGGGCAAAGGGATTAATTGCTAATTGGTTTTAATGTGTGAGGAACCCATGTGTCTGAGGCAGCAGCAGCAGCCTGCATTGGAACAAAGATTAATTTGCCTCTGAAGAGGAGGGTGAATAACATAGTTGGCGGTGCTGGAAGTGGTTTAAATTCCACAGGCAGGTCTTCAGGATACTGGCACAGTGTTGTAACTCTGAAATTAGATACTGTGTGCTGCAGTTGATCTGATTACAATGCAGATCAATTGGAGGCATGGTGAAGTGTCACGTTAATTGTGACTTGACTGCCAGAATGTTGTAGTCATTTCTAAAACTCTAACATAAAGTTAAAGAAAAATAAACAAGCATCTTTTAGTTTTGCTTTGATACAGGGAGCTCTCTTCTAGGAATCTAAAAGCAAAAACTGCAGGTTTTGTTTCCTATCTTATGGAAAGTGTCTTTTGTCACCCTTGCTAGTTAATTGATTCCTTTTTTTGTATTAACTGCAACTCCAAGAGAATTTATATTGGTTGAACAAAGATCTAATGCAATCTTTTGGCATAGAATTTCTATCCTTTGATCAGATATATTTGAAAGAAGCTGGCTTTTGTTAAACTGCGTGGCCTGAATCTGGAAGTGCTCTTTTGATAAACAGTGAGAAGGTACCAGGGGCTGATGAAAAAGGGGAAAGGATCCATCAGACTGATCCATGTGAGCTGTTTGTACTGGACAAGAAGACTGCTGGATCAGGGCATGCCTTGGTGCTGCGGTTAACCACAAATCAGTGCTGTGGCTGATACTGGTCATACTGTGTGCTGCTCTGGGGAAATACTGGGGTACAAAGCTCTTGAATGCCAGCACTGTAAACCTGACCTCCACTGAGCCCCTTCAGAGATTGTCACTGTTTACTTGACTGCATTTTTCACTTTAGCTACCTTGAAGGGTGTTTTCAGGATTATATCTATGAGATTTCTGTTCTGTTTGAAACTCCCAACTCAGGCCACAACAGTAAACCACATGATTCATAAAGTTAACTTCATTTCAGTTAAAACTGTGTGGCTTCTGTCTTTTTCCATGAAGAGAAAGGATCTCCTCACATGATTGTCAAGGACTGAAATCAATAAAGTGTTGTCCCTCAAAGCTCCAGAAGGAAAGTAGATGGTGCATTTAAATAACACCTGCAGGGAGAATTTCTGTGGTTTATGTAAGCAGTTGAGGTGGAAGAGAGTTTTCCACCCTTTTTATAGTTGTGAGTTGTGTATTGGGCATGGCTCTTGAAGAGGGCTCACATCAGCAGGGTAAAATCTTTGTCTGCTTTCACTCCACAGCACCTAATAGATGTAGGTTGTTTTTTGCTTGGTGTTTTTAATTTTTTTTGTTCTCCTTAACCAGTATACCAAGGAAAATCCCTCTGGTGAAGGGGAATCCTTGGTGGCTCCAGGACAGAGCAATATTTCCTGGTAGATTAGTCTCTGATACAAAGCCTGACTAGACAAGGACCTGGGGACTTGCTGTTGTTTGTGCTCACTCTTCTGGCATCTCCAAGAGTTTGAGCTCACACAGTTCCATGTAAGCATGTGTGCATACACTGGTCTGGGAGGCGACGATAAACACAAATGTAACACCCTGCAGGGAACAGGGGTATAACTGATGGCCAGCAAGGAGCCTTTTGACCTAAGACTTGTATACTTTGGGCCAAAGGAAGTTTTGGCATAATTTTTGAATGGAAGGCCTAGTATTGCTCTTTGTGGCCTGAAGTCTGTTGTACTTCATTCTTGCTCTTTGTTTACCTTTTCATCTTACTGGGAACCTTTGAATAGTTGGAGGTGTTCATCCAGCCAAGGAAGTAGGATTGTCTTTGGAGCAGCCCTCTGTTGTGTTGGTGCCAGGATCATGTCTGGGTGCTTATTTTATATTAAAGGATGTTTGGAGTAGTAGGAAAAAGCCATGAATGGTTCTGGAATCTGTTGTAAAGAGCTGTTGAAGGAGGTAGGGAGACTTGTGAGGAGGGTTCTGTGCCAAAGTCCTCAGTTCTTGCAGTGAGTCAAGGTGTGTGAGCACCACAGATGGTGTCTCAGCAGGGAGGGATCCCCTGCAAGGGGCTGCTGGAAGTGAGTTGTCCTTGAGGCATTGGACATGGGAAGGGGAACAGTATAAGTGAATGGTCAAGAGCAAGTGTTATTACTGTCAGAAAACATCTATTAAATGCAGAAATGCACCTCAGAGATGACAGAGTTATAGCCTGTGTTAAAATAGAAGGGCACTTTCCAAGAACATGGGTCAGGAAGGAAGGGACTGGGCAGCTGAGAAGAAAAAGGTGACACCAGGGGTTGTTCTATGCTTTGTTCACTGTGTCTTTACCTCACTTTGTACAACCTGGACATCTCAATCCATTGCTGAGTGTTCAGTTTGAGGTCTCTGTGTGCAAGTGCTTAGCCAGTTATCAATCAGCCACAGATCAAGACCTGCTTTGTGTTTACTGGTTTTGGTAAAATGACAGTGCAGTAGTCTCTGGTGGCTTGTTTAAATGACCAAATCTGTCTGCAGTGAAAGCTGGATGCCCCATCCCAGGTAAATTGTTTGAAGGTACCAGCAAGGAATGAATGCTTGCAGATTCAGGAAATCCATGTTTCTACACATGATGGAATGATGAAGAAATGGTTTCCACTTGAAGGAACTTGAGGCCCCGTGCATGCTGTGACAGTGAACATATGTATGTAGACAATATAAATTACAGATTATAAATTGCTCTTCGCTTACCGGACATGTCATTATCAGCTATCACTAATCTGACATGGCATCATTTGGTTGAGACTTGTTTTGGACTGCTGGTAAATTGAAAACTTTGAACATTTTAGAGCCTTTTGCTTGGGCATATTTGCATATTTAACAGAAGTATGCATTTTGCTCTGTAAGTTGTAAGGTATAAGCAGAATGGTACCTTGTAAGCTTGTTTTGAAGTTGCCAGGTTGAGTGTGAGGGTCTTAATTCTATGGAGACCTCAAGCTTTTCTTTTAAAAGGCCAATGATTTTTCCATAAAGTCAAAATACATGGATATTTCCATTTTCTGATAAAGGCTTGCAGCCTCTAACAGGCACGGTGTCAGGTTGGGTTTGACTGGCTCATTGGTTTGTGTGTTCTCTTTGCCCATGCCTTCTCTGTGATGGTTATCATTGTAACAACTGGTCTCCAGCTGACCATAAAAATGTATTTCTGGCTCACTGATGTTGGGGAGGATGAAACAGGAAAGCCTTATAAATATGATTGCCTGGCAAAAGATTTTGAGAATATGGAAACTATAAGCAAGATTGAAATGAAAGCAAGCTTTGCGATCCCTCAGTTACTGAGCAACGGGAAAGCAACAGTGTGGCCGCTGAAGGTAATGCCCTTTTGATGAAACAACACCCTCTCCTGCAGACAGGTCCAAGGGTCAGAGCAGACCCTGTCAGCTTGGCAGAAGGGGTCTAAAGAGGAGTTTTTAGGGTTTAAAATGTAGCACAATATGGTAATATAGTGATTCTTACAGGCTGTATGGAAATGCTATAGGATTTGTATATTGTACTAGATTGGTTAGTGAGAATCAGAATATTCAACACAGAAGATGATTTATTGTACTGTACGGGGAACTTCACTCTCTTACCTCTTTTATTCTCTTATGCTTTGGCTCTCTTGCCTTTTGCGCTCTTACCCCTTTCACTCTCTTACCCTCTCATCCTCTCTACCCCTCTTTTCTCTCAGGCCTGCTCCGAGCTGCAGCTGGCAGCTCCCAGCAGGGCCCTGCACCCAGGCCCTTTGCAATAAACTGCAAGTTCCACGACCTGGCTGCAGAGATCTCTTGTTTCTGTCCGTCCCAACCGTGCTACCCCCTGATGCTCCTACAACCTGTCTGCCACAAATGCAGCCTAAAGGACACACCAGGATTGCACAGAATATTATCCTGGACCTCAGCACTGGTGACAGGAGTATCAAGATGCACACATTAGCTATATATTCTTTCTCTTTTTGGCTGTGTAACTATTGTTACATAAGGGAAGAAAAAGCACTGTGTAATCTGCAGTCTCTGGGAAGCAATTCATTATTTGAGACTGGTGCCAAGTGTAGAACTTGTTGTGTGGAATGATGCTTGGTTGAATGAGTTACTTTCAGTGATGTTTATTTGCACAACTGTTGGAACCGATGCCTTGAATTAAAATGTATAAAGCTGGAAGATGTTTGCTCTTGAAGTGAGCAGGAAGTTGCTTAGATACTTGTATTATTGATAATACAAATTTTTCTTTTCAGGGCACAGGTGCAGCAAGTTTTGATGAATTTGGGAATTCAAAGTACCAAAATCGCAGAACTATGAGCAGCTCTGATCGTGCGATGATGAATGCTTTTAAAGAAATTACAAACATGGCAGACAGAATCAACCTCCCTAGAAATATAGTTGTAAGTTCATGTCTCTTTTCCTTAAATTGTTCTGGCATTGACTTAGTTAGCATAATATAATGAGCACATGAATTTTTGATATTGCTGCTAATTAAATGGCCCTAGAGTTAATTAAATTTCATCTTCTTGCGTTGAAGGATCGAACAAATAATTTATTCAAGCAAGTGTATGAGCAAAAGAGCCTGAAGGGGAGAAGTAATGATGCTATTGCTTCCGCTTGTCTCTACATAGCCTGTAGGCAAGAGGGCGTTCCAAGAACATTTAAAGGTAAGTTTTCAGTGATACAGATTCAATTTTTCTATGAAGGAAAAGTTTCGTTTCTGTCACTATAGGAGGTTGGTTTTCTTATTCCTAGACTTCGTCAAATTGGTTGTTCTCAGCTGTAGCTCACCTTTGAGGGGAGGGTAGAAGAATCTGTGAGAATTTGTTGTATTTGTGGAATAGGCTCTAGGGCATGGGGGTTTTAGCATTTGGAAGTTATTTTGAGTGTTGGTAAAACAAAAGGCATTGCTTTAATCAGAGGATGGTGGAGCCTGTTGTAACTGCTTTAACTGAATTTGAATCAGCAGTTCTGTAGTGAATAGTGCAACTTTTCTGTAACAGAGGTACAATTCTCTAGCATTCAGTACCAAATTTCCCTTACTAAGTGAGCTGTATTAATAGTGCCTTGTGATAAATGTGAACTGACTGAAGTTTCACAAATGGTCAGAGCTTATTTCGTGATGGTGGCCTTCAGGACATTGTACTTCTTTGTGGGTCTTAATATATTGAGAATCAAGTTTGATTATTTTGGGGGCAACAAATGCTGTGAAGCCTGAGATTTAATTTATACTCTTTTTTCCAGAAATATGTGCAGTGTCCAGGATTTCAAAGAAAGAAATAGGCCGGTGTTTTAAACTTATTTTGAAAGCTCTGGAAACCAGCGTTGATTTGATTACAACTGGAGACTTCATGTCACGATTCTGTTCTAACCTGGGTCTTCCCAAACAAGTACAAATGGCAGCCACCCATATTGCCCGGAAAGCTGTGGAATTAGATTTGGTTCCTGGGAGAAGCCCTATCTCTGTAGCAGCTGCAGCTATTTACATGGCATCACAGGCTTCTTCAGAGAAAAGGACGCAAAAAGGTAAAACTTGACTTTTTTTGGTCTTTTTTTGGTTTGTTTTTAGTTTGCCATGTCTTTTTTCCTGAAAGAAACTTCAGTATTGCTGTAAAACTTGGATGAGGTCTGTGCAAACAGTGATAAGCTCATTCTAACTGCATACAGCAAGGACCAAACCAGGATCTCCCTGTCCCCAGAATGAACATGGAGTAATTGGCTACACTCAGTGTAAACTGAGTTCATTTTCTTCTGGTATTAGGAGTTGGATTCTTGAATGCAATGGAGCAGTGCATTCACATGAGCATAATAATTTAAGTTCACATATATTTTTGTGTGTCCATTTTCTACTCTAAAATATTCCAAACAGAAACTTGATGGCAGTTGCAGGGAGCACTTGGGCTTTGGATTACATCAAATCTTTAATCATTCCTGCAGCCAGGGAATTGCCTGCATTAGTACATGGTCCTTGACTTACTGTGAGCCTGTGGTAAAGATGGAAGCTGTGGGATGGCAAGGTTTGCTGTGGATCAGCCAGGGCAGATAGGGTGGCCTGTGGGGAGCCAGTAAGGAGTTCAGGGCTCTTGAGCTGCAGAGCAGCATGGATCAGCCCCTGGGGCTCAAGGGCATGAGGCTACAGGGCAGTGATGTATGGGGAAAGACGTTTACTAAGGCTGCAGGGGGTAGAACTTGATGTGAGAAATGGATTCAAGTGTTCCTCTGAGTTGTCCAGATCAGAGATGTTGAAAATGTAGCAATTTCTTAATGGAGCATTCCATATTAAGAATAGCTTTATCTGTCAGGTTCTGGTTTGTTCTGCATTTGTAACTGCATATGTCCTTGGAGCTTCCGTCCTGTTGGCACTTTCCTGGGCCTATGAGTGATCTGTAGCCCAGGAAGTTCAGTACCTTCATCCTTGCTGGTTGTGAGATTGCATCTCTTAAGAGTGATAATTAAAATACAGCTGCTTGCCATGGACACCACAGCTCCACACGGCTCCAGTGGTTTTGGACAGTGCTGAAGGCTCTCATGCAGTTCAAGGTTTAAATTCCTGACTTTTTTTTCTTACTAACTCTTGAATAAATTTAAGTTTCTGTGCATCTCAAACAAGTGTTCCCTTAGCTTGTTAGATAGTGGTGTGTGCCTCTGCCTTATTTCTTGGTGCATTTTAAGGTAAATGTATTTCATGCTTAAGTGAAGGCATCAGTTTTTGTCTGTGGCTCAGTTTTTTGCTTGTTTTTGCTTATATTTAATCAAAGCATAAAAATGAAGTTCTAGAAGTTGATGATGATTTGTTAAAATACTGGTGGTCATATGTAATACATGTTTCTAACTACTTTTACCCTCTTCCAATTTGAAGTTTGTTATTCCACAATTTATAGGTTAAGGTGAACTGTAGCACATAAAAAGACAGACTCAAGTATCCAAAATATTAGTCACCATAGTTAACAACATTTCTACCAGGCTTTCGGGGGAGTTGCAAGTGAAGCAAGTGTCCAGTGCCTCTTGATAAGTTATGCTTGCTGGTTTTTTGAATATAAATGGCAAAAGTAAAAACTAACCACTTCTCTGCTTTTTGTTGTAGAAATTGGTGATATTGCTGGTGTGGCTGATGTTACGATTAGACAGTCATACAGGCTGATCTATCCTCGAGCTCCAGATCTTTTCCCAGCAGACTTCAAGTTTGATACCCCAGTAGACAAACTACCACAGCTGTGAGATTGCAGAGGGTTAATTTCTGTTAACCCCCCCCCCCAGAAAACCCCAACAAAAACAAACTCTTTATTTTTGCCTATAATAAAGGATGTACAAAGTGTTAATATTGGGTCTTCGTGTTGTGGAACTGGAGGATGTGGAGATGGAGCATAACTGCTGGAAGGCAGCATACATTCCAAGGGTAAACAAGCTGATTGTGTGGCATTTTGTATGTATATATTAGTGGAAGTAAATATTTAATATCTGTTGCAACAAATTTCATTTGATACTGTTGTACTTATTTAGATTTCTTTTGTAGGGATCTAGTAAGATGTATTTTGGAGAATTTAAAATATTGTGTAATTCCCAAATAAACTGTTTTCCAAAAACACCATCTTGTGGTATGACTGCAGTGTGACATGCATGTACTGTTGTACATGCTGAGAACTGGAATGCAGTCCATGGAATGGTGGAGTGAGCTTCATACTTGTGGGCTTGGTCACAAGGCTGCTTAAATGCTCATTTGTGGACAATTTCTGATCTCTGGAGTGCTCTGGTAGCTGCAGGGAGCTGTAGTGTGGGTGCTTGCACCCAGAATGTAAACAGTTGCTGAAAAGCTGTTACAAGTTTTGCACAACTGCTGCAGAATATTTCCAAATTGGTTGTAAAAGGATTAATCCCATCCTTGGCACAGCCTTCCTGATTCTCAATGTCTCTGCTTTTCTGCTGTGAATTTGAGGTAATGACAAAGCAGCTACTGAGAAGCATGAGGACTCAATTTAGTTGAATTCCTGGTAACTTTGTGATGCTTAGTACTGTACAAAGAAAAGTAAAAATATTTATAGTGTACGTTTGTTAAATGTCTGTCCTGTCAGCCCACCCTGCAGTCTGGCTGGCCTGTGGTTGTTCCAAGTGAGCATTTGTTGTTTGAACTGATATGCCAGGTGCTGAGTGAAGGCCTGAAGTTGCTCAGCCTTGCCCAGACTGAGAGCTTTGAACATTGGTTGCCTCCTGACAGTGTCCCTTTGTGTACAAAACAACAAATGTGCTTAAGTGGGAGTCTTTTGGTTCCTGAGATTTTTGTATCACAGGTGCAAATGCAGTTTAACTACACAAATAACAGCTGAGGGGTCAGCTTGCTGCACATCTGGTCTGAGCCAGCCGGAGGAAAGGCTGTGTCCAGTGCTAGTAGGACTCAATAATTGCCAGTAGCCCTTACTGTTTGTTTTCTAGTTGAGCTTTAATCCTCTTCTGCCAGTAGATACTGGAAATGTGGAGACTGAACATTTTTTTCTGTAGGTTGTACATTCCTGTTACATCTCAGGAGCTGTTGGTTGCTGCCATGAAGGATTCTGGTGCAGGTGTTAGGAGTACGCTCAGTCGTCGGCAGGGCATGTATTCATTGTCTGATGTATTGCCTTTGACTTTGTTGCAACATTTTCTATTATCTGGGCATTCCTGCTCTTGGTCTGTACTATTCTACCTGCACCCTCTGCAAGAAAAGGGGGATGCTGTGAATGGGCTGGGCCTGACCATTAATGTGTTGCTACAGCTTGGGAATGCAAAGGTGGAAATTGCTTTTACTGCAATTGCTGCTTTCCAGCATAGATCTGTGGATTAAATCTGCTCCATGAAGATTGAAAGTGACTGAAATGTACATTTGCCCATAATGCTTATCTTAAATCCTTTCAGGCATTAGGCACGAGCACTTGACATGTGATGGGTGAGTGTTTGCAGTTGAAATTGTTGCAAACAGCAAAGATTGCCTAGACAGGAATTTAAATACATCCGTACAAAGCTCTGAAGTGCAGCAGCTGGAGGCAGGGAAGTGCAATCCTGCCGTGACCCTGCAGTTCCATAAGCAGTTCCTGTATCTCCCAGGGTGTGTGAGTAACAGTGCAGCACAAAGAGGCAGAACTAAGAATCTGCTTGAAGAGGCAGGTATATTCTGAAGGCCATTTACTACTGGTTGCAGTATATTAGTTAATGTGAAGCATAGCAGGAAAAAATACGGCCTGAGTTTTTAGGCAGCTCCGGGCCCTGCCTGTGTCAGCCCGGCCCAGGGGCGGGGCCCGGGAGAGGCGCTGCTGCCCTCAGGCTGAGGGCGGGCTCCGGGCGCTCGGCTCAGCCGGGACGCGCCTGAGGGGGCGGCTCAGCAGCCGGCCTGGAGAAGGCCGAACAGGACGATGAAGGTTTGGATTCCCCACACACAAGTGTGTGGGGAACATCTTCAAGCGTTAATTCAAAGCAGTTCAGATTAAATCATTGAAATGCTGAAGGCAGCCCTTTGTGGAACGATTGTTTAGCCAGGTGTGAAGTGTCTGCCTCGGGGCAAAATGGCCGCCTAAAATTCCATGTGGCTCCTAAAAGTAAAGAGTTTCTTTTTAAATGCACTCAGAAGAAAGCTTCGTCCTCTAGACTGTCCAAAGAACGAGCTCAGTGAGGGGTAGGTAGGTACAGATTGTGGTTTGGTTACACAGCTTGCTAAGGAATGGTGGTAGGAAGGAGACTGTAATTGAGCAGTACCGATAAGCAGGGCTCAGTTGTCTCCCCTGTGCCCTCAGGGGAAGCCTGGGAGGGAGAATTGCTGAGCCTGGCAGACAGACTCCAGCTGTCCTGACTGCTCCAAGCCAGAGACTGCTCAGAGGCAATTTCTAATGTTCTTTAAAAAAAAAAAAAAAAAAAAAAAGGAAGCCTACTGAGCTGCCACCAAGAGACTGTGTCCCCTCCTGGCATTAAGATCTTTTCTGAAGTTACCTGTGGGGAAGACATGACCAGCTACTTCAAGGGACAGCAAAATCATGTTTGCGACACAATTTACAAATTACTCTATTTAGACCTTTAATTTGTGATATTAATGACTGCAAAACACTTAGAATGACATTTGTTAAAGGCACATTTCATTTAATGCATAGTGTACCATTCTAAAATATCCTAATTTCCTTACAAAGTGCTTGAGCAGCCACATACAGATAAAGTATAGCAAAATATATTTACAATCTAGGGTTTAAATCTTAATCTGCCTAAAAATATTTAAAAAACTACAGAGATAAAATTAGTGCTTTTTTCAGCTTAACTGGGTGAACATACCCTGCCCTCTAATTTTTTCTAATTTTTTTTTTTTTAGTGATTTGCTTAGATTAAAAAAAGATTTCTGTACAAGATGTAGTTACAAAAAGGTATGTTTGAGGATACTTTCGTAAGTATTAAGCACCCTGTGAGATGCTTGTGTATATATATATTTGGGAACCAAAAAGGGCGAGCTGACTGTACCTCAAAAGTATTGGTTTCAGCTAGATACAGGAACATAATTTGTTTCTAGTCAATATAGAACCTGGAAACAAGGAATGCTGAGGAGTTGACTCACTCTTTCCAACGTGATTTGTAGCAGTGGTGACGGTGCCTGCCCCCTTCCTGTGGGGGATTGGCCTGATTTAGATCTAGTAATGATTATTTTATTTTTTTTATCCCTTAAGCCTCTCCCCTGCCTAACCCTGTAGGTCTGTCCAGCATCTTGATTTTAAACCACCACCTTAGCATTGCATACTCCAGTGGTTTGCGTTTCTTCTTTGAATTAATAAAATTACCAGTTTTAAATTCATTTGAGTGTGATGCTCACTGCCTTAGCCCATGAACAGCAAACTCCTGGCCAGGATGAACCTGTGAGGTTACAGTGCTGAATAGTGCTAGAGGTAAGGACCAGGAGGAAAATTTATTTTCCAAGAGTCAATGTTTGCCCACAGAACAGCAGATGCCAAAAATAGGTCTTGGTTTACAAATACACACAGTGTCTGGTCTAAATTACTTTTCAACTTTTGAGGTACAGCTTTTAGTGTTAAGGGGTTTATAAAATATACACTGTTTTTATCAAAAATATTTATACATTCTATTACAACATATTGCTTTTTACCCTCAGTAACTGCCAATCCAGGGGCTGGAGCTCAGTGGCCTACATGGATACATTTTTTTGTTCACTTGGCCACTACGCAACATCGGTGAAGTGGTACAGTTAAATAACTTGCCTGGAGGTAAGAATACATTACAACTTCCAAATATACATGTTCACAGCATGTATACATTGAAAACGCTTACTTTTCCTAAGTGATATGATACTGTACAGCAGACAGAGGAGGATGGAGGGGTTAGATACGGACTGGGAACTTCTCTGCCCCCTCGGGCTGTGGGAAAGGCTCGAGGTGAGTGTGGAAGGGGCTGGGCCTGGGCCTTGCAGCTGCTCCACTCTGGGGTTTCACTGAGCAGCATCCTCCTTACATTCCTCATCCCAACCAGGGCCTTAAGCTGTGCTCAAGGAGCTTGAAGGCAAAACTGTTTGGCAAGTGACTTTGGTAAACTCTCCGGATTTTTCTGGGTTTTTCTTTGTAATGGAAGCACTTACACAGTTGTTATCTCAAAGGCAAGGTGTTTAACATTTTTCCTAATAAATACCATAGAAAATTTACAAAACAAGGCATATCTGTTCTCAATAGCATTATTTTAAGAACACAAGATGAAGGTGTACGTAAAAATGTGTAGTTTTAAAGACTGCACAATGTTTAGCTGAAATCATTTGCCTTCTCCGACTAGAACCAGGTTCTGTGTGAGTGTCACCAGTATCCCAACTTACTTCAGTGTGGCTGAGTGGAGATTACCTAGCTCAAAGTCTGCTTTTCCCACGTAAGGCAGATACTGTAAAAAGCGGCTTTATCTGCTGTGGAGAGTGAGAGGAGCTGTACAGATCCACGTGCGCCCATGTGCGGGAAGTTCAACACAGCCTGGCTTCACCAACTCAGCTTAGGAACGCCATAGACCTGCTTTCCAGTGCTCAGATAAAAAACAATATACAAAGAGGCCACTCTTCAAAAGAGTGTTAAAACAGTACTTAAAAGGATCTTCATGTGATTTTAAAAAACCCAGAAGCTGCAGGTGGCACAGAAAGCAATTGAAGGGTCAGTATTCTTCAGAGAGAGGCATTCTTGTGAGCCAGTCAGCTGGGGCTTCACAGTGTGTGGAAGTTAACACCAATCAGCAATGTAATCAAATTCTCTGAACATTTCCTGCTCTTCTTCTGAAAGTATCCTTGGTTCCCGAGGTGGAGTGAGGATAGGTGCTTCAGAGGTAAATTCATCATCAAAATTACTGACATCTTCTCTTCCTCTAATGGTAGGGACGAAAGGAGGCTTGACTTTCTTGGCCAGTAAAGCATGCCAATCTATTTGCTGTAAAATAAATGAATTGATGTTTAGTTTCCCATCTCTACTCCTTTGGGTTCTTAGAAATAATACTAGTTTGTACTCACCCTGAAAAAGTGATGCTTTTTCACATCCTCAGCATCTTTCTCTCCAGCCCCAAGACGCCGCTCTGGATTTCTTCTTAGCAGCTGACAAAACATGCAGA